ATTCTTTATTTTTTTATATGAAAGCCAATTTTAAAATTCAAGTGCTGCAGAGGCTAGAGAGAATAAGTTCTGGCCAGATGCAACAAAAGGGCTAAAAAGAAAGAGAAGGAATTGGATTATTGTGTTATGAGTAAAGGTCTAAGGTGCTACCGAAGCACATAGGCGGGGTGCCTGTGCTAGATTTGGGTCAATCTTTGACAGGTTGAAGACCTTGTTGACAGGTCAGAAAGCATTTGACATGTTGGGGAGCAGGCATCACGGAGGAAGGTGGCAACTGAGGGAACTGCAGGGGGACGCTCACTCCAGGTGAAGATCAGTGGCCTGTCTGACCACTAAGAGATGAAGCCTGAAACGGCTCCTCCCAGTGGTGTTCCCATGAACCCCCACATCCTAATCCTTGCCCCTTTGTCTGCTGACACGCCAGCATAGATTTTTGTGATTTTTAGACAAGGAAGCACAGCGGGGGTGCATTACAGCACCGATTGGATTTATCCCTGTTACAGGGAGGCCAATTAGGACACATCTGTATTAGTTACCACTCACTCAAATGAGCAGGCTGAACGGCTTTGTTTGATAAGCAGCCATATTCTGTGCAGCAGGACAGGATGTTTGCCAGCTCTGCACTTAAGGCCCCTGTCCCTTCCTCTTTGCTTGCCTTGTTCTTCTGATACCGTCAACTTACTTGTTTTTGTTGAATAGCCGATAGTGAGGCAGCTAAGTCAGGCGTTATTAGTCTTTGCTTTAGTGATTAGCTAGAGCTAGTCTCTCTGCACATGTGTGGCAAGAAGTTAGTGCTAGAGTGCTTATAGCCATTGTCTAGTCTGGAAGTCTTGGCCAACTGCGAAAAACCCCACAGACACACACATTCTACGTGCTCTCAGTACCTCGTATGCCTTGTGTTTGATACATCATCTTCAAATAAATAGAACACCGAAGCACATAAAAACATTTTTCTATCTTTGGATCAGATCTTGACTGTTCCGAATTTAAAGGCCATTTCAATAAATATCCTTTTTATGACCTTATTTTTATTTTAAATATTATTATTTAAACACAACTTATTTTATTAAATTTTCTTTCTTTCTATGAATGCCAAAAAATGTCATAAGGTATTTCATTTTATTCCAGGAAATTCAAGGTCACCCCTACAACACTCCACCAGTTAAATTGTTTATTTCTAAAATAGTCCTTGGCTGAACTGCATTAAAAGGTGTTTAGGAGTTCCCCAGCTCAGCTAAACTGCGAGCTCTCTCCAACTGCACCTTGGTAGTATCCTGCCCCAGTCAAATGCTGCCTCCTGTCAGGCACCTAAGAGCTGTGTAATCAAAGTTTGCTGAATAAATAATTACATGTATTATTTTGTCATATATCTGTCATCAGTGTGGTTGTAGCCCTATGATCCCAATGGTAGGAGTCACTGGATGCTGTAGTGTAGTAGGCCATGACCCTAAGCCAACCTGGCAGAATGGCTCAGAGCCCTATTTGGGAGTTACCTGGCATGAAATTTTGGTTCCCACCAGTTCTAGTATTTGTGTTCTTTGACCTTCAGTTTTTCTCTCCTGTCATGTGAAAATAAAAGTCTACTTTGGAGTGTGGTAGAAAGGAAAAATTTTCCACATTCTGTAAAGCTTTAATAGAATATTCAACATTATAAATTTTTGGTGGGGTGACTCTACGGTATAGTAGTTTAGTGCCATGCCTAGAAAGCTAGAACCCACATGGCTGACCATGGTTTGAATCCTGGCCCTGGAGGCTGGAAACACACTCTGGGCGCATGTGTGTGCGTGCGCCATATTCTGACCGGAAAGAGAAACATAGGCGAAGGGAATGCGACAGGACAGTGGTCCATTGGGAGGGTTTTTGCCAGCACGCTCTCTCTGGCCAGTACCTATGCTTTTTGACAATTCAGAAAGTTCTTTATATAAGTAAATAAACCAAGAAACTTGTGATGCAAACTTTGAATTGGTTCTTAGTCTTCAAATGCTTTCCATAGACCTGTAAACCTAGACATCTGAAATGTTACCTGCTGCTTAAGCGTGACCTATGTGTCTTAGATTTATCCAACAGATTACAGTTGTAAAGGGCTGTCACTTATATTGGTCACTTGGTCATCAGTATTAACGCCATTAATACAAAGGACGGCAGTTGTCGTTAATACTTACACGCGGGGACTTCAACAAGTTTGTGGAAAAAGAGAATTAAAGTCTGAGTTTATTTGGGGACACACAATTTTGAAATCCATGCACAACTTCTTCATAATATGTATGTACCATGAACTTTTTGAATACTCCTTACATCGTACTTGGTATGTGCCAGAAACAATTTACGTCAATTAACTCTCATGTAAGTACTTGACAGCTGTTAAACTCACTTATTCCTCACGGCAGTCTCAGAAAGTGGATACTGTCATTCTGCCCAGTTTAGAGATGAGGAGGCAAGGATTAGGGGTAAGTACCTTGCCCAAGTTCACGCAGCTCATCATGGTGTTCTCAGTTAACAGCAGCAACAGCAACATCAGCGCTGCTTCTCTGCTCTTGGCTAAGCATTGTGTGTGTATTACCCCAGTTAATCCTCACAGCACCCCTGAGGTAGGCTCTATTTTTATCTCCTTAAAAGTGACATTGTTAAGAAAGTCTTCACTATTTGTCTCCTTTCGCTAGGAATTAGTGTGGTATCCCAGCGGAGTATTTTGTCTGGCCAGCTCGATTATGGGATGTACTGACACTGTCAATCTCCTTCTTAGGCCTTGTGAAAATACCTTTTTTCCTTTTCTTTCTTTCTTTTCACTTTTTTGCTAGAGGGACTGTGTGCTGGCCAGAGAGAGAGAGAGAAAGAGAGGGGAAGAGAAAGCAACCCCCCATGCAGCATGGTCATGGCCCGATTTCTTCTCCATCTCTCCCTCCTTTTGGAGTTTTGGACACACAGTACTCAGTATGTTTCTCAAGCCACCAGATCGGGGACTTAAACCTCAGGATTGGCCATGTGGGATCCCGCCACCTTAACCACCATATCTTGGAGCCAGCTCTGCCCTTTTTTTTTAGTTTGAATTCCTTATACATTATGCCTTTTTAAAGCTTTTTTTTTTTTTACTTTTAAATGAGAGGAGAATGGAGGAGAAGGGATTGCGGCGTGGCCATCGCCCCTGGGGGGTGATTTCTCACTTTCTGTCTCTCTGTCTCTCTCTGTCTGTCTGGTGAGCACACAAGCCCTATAGTAGCAAAAACCTCTCCAAAAAAAAAAAGATATATATATATATATATATATATATATACACACACATACATACATATTAAAGAACTATGTCAAGAAAGAGATCATCTGAAGCATACATTTCAGAAACTGTGATTCTATCTTCTGACCCTTCCCCTAAGTGTACATAAGCAGTCAGTACATGGTTGGGGAATTGCTGGTGATATTTCTAGACATGCCACAGAAAGAAAAGCTAGGACCAATAAGCCAGAAAAGCAAAAAAAGAAAAAGTACTGTTTAAATTCACTCAAAACAAGTTATCCAGCCAACACAGTGAAAACGATTTTTCATTGACCTGGCCATTCCACCTGTAAAGGCAGCTAACTGTTCCTCTGTTGGGGCACCTCCAGGATCTGGCAGGCGCTCCCCAGTCTCTGCCCAGCACTGCCTTCCCCTGGCGTTAGTGCTTTTCTTGAGCTGTTTGGCCTACAGTCTGCCTCTCTGCTCTGGTTTCTTTCTAAGTAGTCAGGTGATCCCCTTTGGGCCTCTGTTAGTTTTGGAAGATTCAGCTGTAAAGGAAACTGAACTGGTGTTTCTCTACCTGATAGATGGAGCCACCAAATGAGGCTTCACTTTTTTTTTTTTTTTCCTTAAATCTCTTCTCTGGACATTGCATGGATCCATAAACAGCAACCAGATTTGTTTCTACATTTTAGATCATTCCTGGTGAAAATAAGGCAGCTGGGTTTATCGTTTTACTGAAATGTTGGGTCGGTGCCTCCAATTTTATCACTTATAAATGACTTCTAGATGTTTTGAAATGAATGCTTCTTTTTCTGCCAATACGTAATTTGCTTTGTACTGGTTTGAGGAAACATTCAAAAATGCCAAGTGTTAGCCGTCCAATTCCAAGTTGAGATGAAGCTCCCAAGATCCATGTGTGATGTTCAAAGAACATTGTTTTGCAAAGTATAATATATGTAATACAGTAGACGTAAGAACAGGGACATTGGAGCCACCCCACCTGGGTTTGCAGCCAACTCTGTTACTTACTAGCTGTGTGCCTTTGGGTGGGTTATTCAGCTCTCTCTGAGCCTCCGTTTCCCCACTGATCAAACGTGGATAATGACAGAATGTACCTTTTGGAGTAGCTATGAAGATGAAATGAGGATTAAATGAGTTAGCATGCTAAAAATAGCATCTGGCAGATAGTGCTTAGCAATTGTTATTTTATCTGTATTATTAATTTGTTGGCACTGCCTAAACTCACATAAATGGAAGATTCATATAGTCACTGTTTGAATATAATTCTCTACTGGGTGAAGTAGATTGGACACTGTAGAAACTTGGGTGAAAAGTAAAGGCCAATATAGCCTGGAAATTCAGAGCATATAATGTGTAGGTAGACAGAGTGTAAATTCTCTAGACGTTTACTCATTCATTTCTTTGAGTAAGAGAGAGAGAGAGAAACTGAGAGAGACGGCACCCCCAAAAGAGTCCTGACGCTGCAATCTATCCCCATTGTTCACCCAGCCCCAAATCATGGGCAGATGTGTGCCTGGCATACTCAGAGAGGTCTCCAGACTTGAGTCAGGAAGCTTCATGTGGGATTATAATAGAGCATCTCCTTTCACCTCTGTATCACTTACTATCTCGCCCCAACTGAGTCTTTTGTAAAGGTGATTAATTTTAAAACAAATAATATTTATTAGTAGTATTTATAGTAAAGATGAATATTATACAGCATATACAGAGCACAGCCACTGATGTTTCTAATGCTAACTGTGTCTTTCTTCTTATCTTTGATTTAGAACTCTTCAACAATAAATACATTTGATAAAGATGACGGCTTTAAAAGTGCTGCTAGAACAAGAGAAGATATTTTTCGCCATTATAGTCTTACTAGGCTATTTGGTAAGTAAACTCCTCATTCATTCATAATAATAAGATGAAACAGTTCATAAAACTGTCTTCTAATCAGACCCATTTTTTATTTCTTTCAAATTTTATTTTATCATTTTTGCATTTAATACATAAAAGACTGCTCAGTCATGATGTTTGTAACAGATGTTGAAATTATTTTATTTTTTAAGAATTATTTTATTGTATTGTATTTATTGCTATTATTATTTTTTAATTTTACCAGAGAGAAACAAAGAGAGATAGTGAGAAAGCAAGCCACCAGGTCCAGGACTCAAACCACTGTTGGCCATGTGGGAGTCCAGTGCTTTAATCACCATGCCATCTGCTGGCCCCAGGAATCATTTCATTAAATGTAGTTGAAGTCATAGAAGTGCAATGTTACTTGCAGCAATATGACAATAATATCATCCTAGACATGTAGGCATGTATCTCTCATACCACACTCTGGACCTTGACAAGACCATACATTTTAATTTGAGGTCCATGATTTACACAGTTTATGAAGAATTTAGAATAGGTTTTTTAAGTGCTTTCATTTTCATACAGTTATTTATATCCTTCTAGGGTTTAAAATTAGAGGCAGGTGGACAATCTTACTATTTGAAAGTTTTATAAAAGATCTATGAAAGTGTTCAAAAGAATCGAGATTTATTTACTCTATAGATAAAATAATGATCTACAAGTATATAAAGTATTACACTGAAAACAGTACCTAAGTCTCCTTGGAAGACAAAATAAGAGGAAAGAAATCAAATTGGAGTCTGGGATTTATAATAAATACAGATAAGGCAAATTTCCTTCCGTCAATGGTCTAAGAGAGGATTTATAGAATTTTTTCTCAATGATATTATAGTCTCTTTGCAGAGGAAGGGAATCCTCTACTCCTTTGAAATATAATCAAACACCTCTAAGATTGGTAGTCAAGTAGAAGTTAAGAGAAAGGGGAGGAGATGGTTAGATCTTTAGCTCCAAAGGATTTTCTAGTACCAAACTCCCTCCTACTTGCCTCAGAGGTTAGGGCTTTGACTTTAAGAAGGCTGGAAAATATCTTACAGATAGTTCTTATAGATAATAGATAATTTATGGGGAAAGTTTGCTCATTATTATCATCATCAAAAACAATTTCCAGTGCACCTGTATGATGTGCACACTGTGATAGGTAGTAGACATAATGAAAGTGTGTGTTCCTTCAGTAACTCCTAGGATTGTTGACTTTCATTTAGAAAAATAAATCATAATTGGTAATGTTATTCAGGGCATTCCAAAAAACTGCTTAGGAAAAGAGAATAGATTCACCAATTCTAAAATTCTGTTAATACCAAAAATTTTTATGAAATACAATTGTTATGAAGCAGATAAATTTGCTTTTTTTTAGAATGGTAGTATATAAAATGAATTTGTCATTTTTAGATAAAATTTGGGGGAAAGCTACATTTTGGAAAATAACTCTCAATCTTTGTTTTTATCAAAGCGTAACCTTTCCATTTAAGTCCTGTGCTATGAACTAAAATATATTTTTAACATATTGTTAATTCCTAGTAAATGGTGAAATGGTAATAACAAGAATTTAAGTTCATATTTACCAAGCACTTTTACTTTGAAGAGTTCAGAGAATTTGGTCATTATTGTCATCATCATCAAGAATGTTACCAATTTCATGATTGTTAAATGGTGGTTTTTTTTGAAAGACAATCATTAAGTAAATGGAATTCAACTGAAAAAGACTGAATCTTCTCCATCAAAACTGTGTGGCACATATGGCTAGAATAATTGCAAAGTTCTTGTGCTATACTAATCTATTTTTCATTTATTTGATTTATAATACTTGAATATGTGTGTATTTCTAGAGGACTAAAAAACTTCTTTTCAACAGGACCTTGGGTCTCTGCATGTCTGTACTTTTATATATTCATCCTCCTCCCTAAAATAGACAACTCCTGAGTCATTTTATATCCTAGATCAGAGGAAGATAGCAATTATTTCCAGGAAAAGATGGCTGTATTTCAGGGAATGAAGACATGCTCTCTGGAATATAGAAAATAATTAGGCTTATTGATTTATTTGTTCCGTGGACTCATTAGAAAGCGTTATTTTCTTCCTAGAGTGAATATGAGATTGAGCTCACTCTGATTTAATGTTGGTACTTAGTGACTGTGTGACTAATACTGAAGATTTTGTTCCTTTCTTGAAAAAAATGTAATTAATATGCTTTAAGGTAACATTGTGTGAAACATCTTTTTTTTTTCCAGTCATGTAAAGTGATTTGTGAAACAGGAGACTGCAGACAACAAGAATTTAGGGATCGAAATGGAAATTGCGTTCTCTGCAACCAGTGTGGGCCAGGCATGGAGCTGTCTAAGGTATGTATTAGAATAGACACATATTCAAGTTGTGTATCTCTTTAACTTAATTCTTCTAGTTAATCATTAATGAAGTTTTAGATACCATGACAGGATTCTTGATTTGTAATGTCATTTTATCCAAATACTATACAATTTCTTTTTCAGTACTTTTTTTTTTTTTTTTTTTGGAGAGGTTTTTGCTATAGGGCATGTGCACTTGCCAGAAAAAGACAGAGAGAGACAGAGAGACAGAAAGTGAGAAATCATCTCCCAGGGCAGATGGCCATGCCGCAATCCCTTCTCCTCCATTCTCCTCTCGGGATCTCGGGCATGTACGTACATGCGCCCGGTGGGAATTTAAGCCACTGGGTCCGAGACTTGAACCGCGGTCAACTACATGGGAGTTCAGTGACATAGCCATTATGCCAACTGCTGGTCCCTCCTTTTTCAGTACTTTTAGTTCACATGTCTTACTGAGATAAATATTTTCTAATAACCAGAATTCAAAAACGATCATCATTTTAAATAATTTAGCATATATAAGTATATTTTGTTTTATTAATTTAGCATATATTTATGTCTATATTTAGATGCTAAGTATAACATATAAATATATTTAGATGCTAAAGTAATAAAATAATTAAGAACTAGTTTTATTTATTAAAGATTAAAATAAATTATATAAATATAAAATTTATTGTATTTCATTGAAATAATATAATTTTTCAGGTTTATTTGCATTCCTTAACAAGATTAGTGTTCTACTGAAAATTTTAAGATAAAGTATTTATATTAAGAAATGATGATACTGGTCCTTCTTGTTCTTAAAAATGAATGTTACCATTGCAAGTCGAGAAGTAAAACCCACCAGTGCCCTTAACTGCAGATGTTCCTAGATAGCAGTTCTTTTTCAAACCAGGATTTTACACATTTTTTGACAATGCGAGTATTATTATTGATCTTGCTGCATTGAGTGTATGGTACTCTAAGAAACACTTTAAATGTATTGCTTTAACCACTATTTGTTACAAAACTGTGTTTTCACAGGACATAGTTCACAGTCTCAGATGTTCCTGGGGCTTTTATCTTTCGTGAGTGCGTCCAGAGTTGCACATACATTTGCTTTACTTTCTGATCTTTTGAAGATGTTACTAGTTGTGGAGAATGATGTGTTGTATTGTCCTAAATAAAGCATCAAAGCCTGCCGATTAGAAAAGGAACAATAGATTTCTCTTTTTATCTCAAGTGACTTTTAAAAGAAAAATCTTTTTCCCTCCCACTGCCATTATTTAAAGTGGAGTCTCATCATTCCTAGATTTTTGATCAATGATCTACGAACAGCAGGAAACAAAGAATTATGCATTCCACACATAGTTCCTAGTAGATGGCTTTTCTCTCTTGTGTTAAACAAGTGGTGATTTTCACTTTCCTGGACTTTATATATTGATTAAAACAAATGATCTTCAAATTCTGATATCTAGTTAACTGTAGACTCTCAACTGATTCTCCAATCCCTTTCAATTATGGAAACATGCATCTTCAGACATAAGTTATGAAGTTTCTACCCTTCAAAAGTTCTTTTGCCAAATCTGAAAATCTGAATGAAATTTTATAGAGACTAAGAGATAAGTAAATCATTTCTAAGAAATTTCTCTTTTACCTCCATCCTTTGAATCAAGAGAATCTATCCTTAAAATAATTTCTAGAGAATCAGACCAACGATGAAGGTCCTATTACTTTTACCTTTTTTTTTTAATAAAAAAAAAATCATTTTCTGGTTTCTGGTTTCATAGGGAAGGAGACTAGAAGTTGCAACTTCATCCTAACAAGTAAAAAGCTAAACAAATCAACAACTCTTCTTACATGTGTAAGAGATACAAGGTCATGTGTAAGAATCTAAGAGTTAAAAACTCCAGCGGGGCCCAGTCAGAGAGCATTTCCCATACCTTTGAGTTTTAACCTCCAGGAACTCAACCTCGTTTTTTCTTTACAGAAATTTCAGGGGAAAAAAATTCCTCGTTCTTCTGATAGTGGGAAACCAAAGGGGAACAAAAATCTGTCCTCGGGAAAAACTAGTAGACTAACTCGTAACCTGCTGGGACTTTATCAGAGTCCAACTGGCCTGGGCGAAGAGAGATACCCAGCTCTTGTTCATTCTAGCCTTCACGTGGGAAAAGGGAAATACCCAACTAACCATGTTGTAAGCAAGGATGAAAAAACCTGAAAAATACTTGTGAAGGTCACAGTTCAGAGACATTGCCTAACTAAAAGACTAAGACCTAATCATAGGACTATGGATGCTTCCCCTCCATCTACATCTTACCTCCACATCACTTAATGTTCATTTATAGCACTTAGCTTTATCCAGTACATTATGTAAGACTTTTAAGAAAAAAATTACAAGAATTACTAAAAGGCAAAAAAATACAGCTTGATGAGACAGAGCATGCATTGAAAGCAGACATGGCAGGGATGTTAGAATTACCAGACAGAAAATTTAAAACAACTAGAGTAATATACTAAGGGCTCCAATAGATAAATTACATAGCATATAAGAACAGATAGGCAATATAAGTAGAGAGATGGAAACCATAAGAAAGAATCAAAAAAAAATGCTAAGCATCAAAAACACAGACATGAAGAATGCTTTTGATGAGTACAAATAGATTGGACAGAGCTGAGGAAAGAATCTCTGGGCTTGAGAATATCAATAGAAATCTTAAAAACCAAAACCCAAAGAGAACAGACTGAAAAAAAAAATAGCAAAGAGGGAACCAGCAGTTAGCATAATGGCTATGTTGCTGGACTCCCCCGTAGTCGCCCGCAGTTCGCATCCCGGACCTAGTGGCTTAAATCTCACGCCAGGCGCGTGTGCATGCATGCCCAAGATCCCGAGAGGAGAATGGAGGAGAATGGATTGCGGCGTGACCATCCCCCCTGGGGGGTGATTTCTCGCTTTCTGTCTCTATGTCTCTCTCTGTCTGGCGAGCGCACACGCGCTATAGCGAAAACCTCTCAAAAAAAAAAAATAGCAAAGAATTGTAGGAAAATTACAAAAGGTATAGATACACATAATGGGAATAGCAGAAAGAGGAGAAAGAAACAAAGGGAAGAAGAATATTTGAAACAATAATGATTTAGAATTTTACCAAATTAATGTTAGACACCAAACCACAGATCCAGGAAGTTCAGGGAATGCCAAGCAAGGCAAATGTCCAAAAACCTATAGCTAGGCATATCATTTTCAAAATATAGAAAAATAATATGCTAAGAAAGAAGAGAAAATAGAATCATATAAAATGCTCGACTGAAACCCCACATGAGAAAAAGAGTGAAGACAAAAATAGGAATAAAAACCAATGGCAACAAATAGAAAACAATAATAAATACGGTAGATATTAACCCAATTATGTCAATAATCACTTTGAATATCAGTGGTCTAAATGCACTAGTTAGAATACAGAGATTATCGGAATAGGCCAAAAATAGACTAAACTCCATGTGGCAAGAAACCCACTTTATATGTAAAGGCACATATAAAGTAAAAGTAAGTGGATGCAGGAAGAGAAACCATGCTAACACTAATTGAATGAGCAGTAGAAGCTATATGACTTCATTTTTTGGAAAGAATTTTATTTTTTAAAATTTATTTTATACATTCAATCCCTATACATCACTTAATTTGTAAAGTGAATTTATGCAACATGGATACACATCACACTAGTCCAGTTGAAGATACAATACATGTTATCATCAACAGATAATAATCCATATCTGTGTCCCATAAATTTCTTTCCTCTCTGTTTTTCTCCTTAATTTCTTTACTCATACCTCACCCTTCTCACATCCCCTTCCCACACTGTCTTTAGTATCTTTAACTATTTTCCATGCTTCTATACCCTCTAATCTTTCAGTTTCCACCATGGAGTATGGGCAGTCGGTATATGTTAAATGATGACATAGTATCTCTCTTTCATAGCCTGACTTGCTTCACTTAGCAGTAAATCTTCCGTATTCATCCACGTTCTATCAAATGCCAGGATCTGTTTGTTGTTGTTGTTGTTTTGGTTTTGGTTTTGCTTTTGCTTTTTTTGTGGCTGAGTAGTATCCCATAGAGCATATGTACCACACTTTTTCAATCCATTCATCTGTTCACGGACATTTGGATTGGTTCCATGTCTTAGCAATTGTGAATAATGCCAAAATAAACATAGACGTGCGAGCATAGTTTGGACTGAGTGTTCTCCTATCCTTTGGGTAGATACCCAGGAGTGGAATTGCCGGGTCATATAATATTCCCATTTGTATATCATTGAGGAACCTCCATATTGTTCTCCACAGTGGCTGGACCAATTTACATTCCCACCAACAATGTAGGAGAGTTCCCCTTTCACCACACCCCACCACACTTACCATTTTTTGTTTTATTGATCTTCACCATTCTGAATGGGGTTAGGTTATATTTAATTACGGTTTTAATCTGCATCTCCCTTTGATGAGGGATACTGAGCATTTTTTCATATGCTTTTTGGCTGTTAGCATGTCTTCCTTAGAGAGTTATTTGTTCACCTCATTTTTCCATCTTTTAATTGGATTGATCGTTTTTTTTTTCCAGAGCTATATTAATTTTAAGCCAGAGAAGACTTGAAAGCAAGAAAAGGTGTCAGGGATAAAGATAGGCATTATATAATATTAAAGTTGTCATTTCTCCAAGAAGACATGGTAATCCTTAATATGTGTACTCCTGAGAACAAAACGTCAAACTATGTGAGGCAAAATCCAATAGAACTGCAAGGAAAAATAGATGAATCCACTATAAAAGTCAGAGACTTCAACACTCTCTCTCAAAAATAGACAAATTCAGTAGACAGAAAATCTGTTAGGATATAGCTGATATCAAGATCATCATCAGTCAACTGGAAGTAACTGACATCCTTGGACTACTTCACTCAACAACAGAATACACATTCTTCTCAAGCTCACATAGAAAAGTCACCAAACTGTTAGGCTGTCAGAAA